AAGCGAACTGAGTCAATACCAATGCAAGGTTTGACTGCATGCTACCATCAGATGTTGCATCTTTGTTGATACAGAGCTAGAAATATTAGAACTGACGCCTCTAATGATATATGACTGTCTAAAATATGATAAATTTGACAGCTAGATCCCACTACTCAGCAGCCTATAACACTAAAATATGGTATCTTTATACCGCTGGTATTTTTGAAAGCTCACCGACCCTCGAGTATGCCACCGAGGTTACATTCTTTACTGTTAGGTTGTAGTCGCATAAGCCTTTCCTCAATCAATGGTAAGACTGGTTAAATATCTAAAATTCCCTCAGTATGGACAATATACCATCTATGAGTAGCTGTACGGGGACTTTGATCTCAAATTCTAAGGCGAGAATGAGACATTGAGAAATAAATTTACGCGCACGTGCCCCTACAGCTTACACAGTCGTATCTTTGGGTCATTATCTATAGGCCACTACAAGCCCGTGCACGTTTTTCGGAAATTTTATCCACAAGTTTACAGAAACACAACAATAAGGCCAAAATTTCGTAACTTTGTCGATCAAATATGGATCAAGTCATGCGTTTCTTGTAATTTGTGACCAGACAAAGCTTTTGCCGCCTTGCTCAACAGTAAAGTCAAATGTCAATAGCTTAATAACTGAAACTAAGTTAAATGCATCTGATATATCAAAACCGGGAAAAAGTTATTGAAGTCTTACCATATTCGAAGCAAGGGTAGCATTACCTTGGCTAAAACTCTATACGCTCAATATGCAACATAATAAGGCTTTAAATGTTATGATTCTAACTTCTAAGCAGACGTCGACGACGCTAACCGAAGTATTGTGTGTAAGTTTTGTGTTTGGATTTACAAATCAAATTTACCAATACTAAAAAGCCACAGAACTTAAAGATTTATCAAAGGCATACCTTTTGACTTATGGTTTCACATAAACGATCGTAGCTCTCCGAGTAGGTTCTTCCAGATCGGATCTCGTAGACCAAACACAAGACCGCCAACAGGCGAATATTCAAAATAGCAGACATTTAATATTCCGCTTGTGTGAACGCGTCCAGCTGAAGGGTCGTGAAAAGATTATGGCGTCTGTGCATGAAATCAGTTGCCTCTGTCGAACTACGCGTCCATCTGCTCGAATTGAAAGTTATTTCTTATCTCCCCAAGCAGATATAAACATAGCGCCAGTTGTAGTAGCGAGCAAAATGCCACAAGGTGTTTGCGAAAGTGTCACATTTCACGAGATTAAACATGAAAAATGCATGCTATGTCAGTAAACTATTCATGTCAGATCATGTTTATATCAACCTTTTTCCATTAATGCAAGCATATTTTTGAATTTTTCCTATATATTTTTTGTTTCCCCCCGACGATCTAAATAACAACTTTATATGCATTAAATTTTCAATGTTTCAACGCTTTAATTTGTAGCTGGAAAAGATACAAGATATGATTAAATGATAATTTCTAACACAATGCGGAACCATCAGTTTGCAATTGAAAACTGAGTCAAAGCTGAATCAGTGATTATAATTGTATACATGCATGCATGCATAAGGTATATATCAAGCTCTGCAGGATACTGATACTCAAATACATACAAAAAAATGCTATTAATAAAATGGCCAGTTTTTGGCCTGATAAAAAAGGTCTCATCTGCTCTTCTCACGATGGGCGCCAACATGTTAAATGCAAAATGGAGGAAGTCTATTGAAAAGACAGCTTTTTAAGTGTTTACTCGCTTGTGCAAACACATTTACTGACATTATTATAATACTCAACCTGCACTGACATTAAAACCTTGAAAGGCTTCAATTTTTTGGCAAGTACAAGCAAACTGTAGATCACTAGCGTTCCTATCCCTAAGCTTTCAGCTGTTTATTTTTTAATCGCAGGAATATAAGGAGTAAGATACTCGCTTCATATGTCCACTCTAGCGCTAATATACTAGAATACTTCAATACTTTCCTGGTCTGACCTTACTCTTGACGAAAGACTATACTGCATGAACGGCAGCCTGCCTATGCATGGCAGTCAATAAAACCTCTCCTGAGAGCAGTCACTGTGTAATCCGCTTTACTCTTGTCCTATCAAAATTTATGCAATCCTTTTTAGACTATTTAAATAAACTCCATTTACGGCTTAGCTGAGAAATTATGGTTTGGAAGTTGAAGCGTGTCATGATTGGGCCTGAACCTCACCCGGTTTAGGGAGTCTCTGATAGGAACCGTTTAGTTTAGTTTAGGTATGAAATAATGCAAATTTTATTCATTTTTGTTGACTAAGACGCGAATGCATTCCATGCTTAAATTGCAGCGATTAAAAAGACCGTTTACCAATGTATATTTCCTCACGCATCCGGGTTGTAATTATAGAAATCCTGAATTAGAAAATTAAAAAAGTTATAGCGCTCTGTCACTAAGCTTAGACAGTCTGATTCACAGCAGACCACGGTCAAGGTTAGCACCTGACGTAATATCAGCTATTCAAATATGTAATGCTGTTTATTTTAACCTCCTCGCGGCATGCGCTCCGGTATACTATAAAAAATTATAAATATTTCTATTCGTCTAAGGCCTGATTCAGGGTGTCTGGAAGAACGCAACCTCGTTGTTTTCCCAGAAATACAGTAGTTTATATATAGTTTACTTATATAGAAATACGATTTTCACATTACTGCAGAGTTTAGCTGATCGCTAAACGCCAAGCAAATAATTTTTGTTTCTATTCATAACTGTCGGGTTTCTACTCGACCGCATAAGATTGAGGTAAAGTAGAAAATTATGCATTTACGTAATGAAATTTACATGACAGTAGTAAATTGACAAGCAATGCAGAACAGTCTTTGAAAACTTTAAAAAAAGTATATATGATGCGTTTAAGAACAAATGAAATAGATTTCCCAGGAAATCAGTCTGGTGTTGTTTTTCAATTCAGGGCCGTAGCTAGACACTTAATTGGAGGGTGTATATTCATATATTCATGTTTATCTACCGCAGGAACAATAGCGTACAAAAGGAATCAGTCGGGCATAAGATGAATTTATGAATATAGACCCTCCTCCAATTAAGCTTCTAGCTACGGCTCTGTTGTTTTTTTCATACAATTTGTTTACCAGAAATTCAGTCTATTCCCGCGAGATTTTGCTACCTAATGCATTGGTAAACAAAGTTTCATTGAAGCATAATCCTGGCGCCTAAATAGTACCCGAATAAATTTATTTAGAATATAAGCTAATCTCATGATATAGCTGTTACGCAATTAATATTTCATTGGCTGACCTCCACATCTCAGATAATTTAGGTGGCCCTTCCGTGATCTGAAAATATATACTAAATCCCAAGTAGGCGAATTTACTTGCGCGAAGAGATAAAAAGTAGGAAGCAATTCTACTTTTTCGCGGTGAATTGTTTCCCAATAGGTAGGAGTCTATTTAGCTACCTTGACTCCAGCTTTTGTTTCCAATATTTTCTGTTATTAACTTATATTATTTAATTATCGGTAGCTAAAGCGATAAAAATAGTTTTCTTGATTTTATCATACAGGGTGTCCCAAAAAAACCGAAAACTATTGAAATCACTCATTGTTAAAATTTGAATGGCGTGTTCACGAATTTCAGCCCGTGGGGATTTAATGCAACTTATAAAATGCTAAATGCTTTGTGTTGCTAGAGAAAGGGGACATGTCGAAGGACGTGGTCCTTGAGATGCACATTTAAATAATGTTATCCGTATTTGTGAATTGTGAATATTGTTAATAAATATCATTTTTGCGAACAAGCAAATTTGACTGCATCATATGCATGCTTAAAAATGCTTAAAATGCTTATGGCAACCCCGATTTATACACTTGTGGGCCCAACAGAGTGCTTAGGCATTCAAACTCTAACAATGGCATTGTTATGGGTGATTTCAATAGTTTTCGTTTTTTTTGGGACACCCTGTATATAAATCAAGTGACGTAGCGTCACTTAATAGAGGGTGTGACCACAGTTAACTGTGGTGTGATAGCCAAATTTTACCAATGATCACGTGACACTTGAAGCGCATCAGAGCCCCATAATCAATCACAAGAGAAAGTGTTTTAGTGCAGACCCCGATTACATGCACTACAGGGTGTATCAAAAAAACTGCAAATACCATAATTTGTATGCACGAGATTAAACATTAGAATTTCAATGACTGTGCAACTAATTACGCTTCTGGGATTTGAAAATACGTTTCCCAGGGTTATCAAAACCAGCACACAAAGTGAATTAAACTTATGAGTTCGATTACGAATGGCTCAGTTAAGAACAGAACTAAGATTCCAGAAGCGTAATTAGTTGCACAGTCATTGAAATTCTATTAAAAGTGCGTACAAATTATGGTATTTGCAGTTTTTTTGATACACCCTGTATAGCGGATTCGCATGGTCACGGCATCAGTGTAAGTTGTTTGACCGCACGGTATCTCTGTCCCCAGAACTTTTTCATTTTGCAGATCTTGTTAAAGCGATTATGCTATCCAGGGGATAAAACTCGCTCAAACATGGCTAATTTTGATTTCGTTATGCGAGTGTGGTGTAAGTAAGCAAAGCAGGCTTTTGTAGTCAGTTTTAGAAAGTGAACTTAATTTTACCGAAACCAAAATTTCTATCAATTTGTTTTTTTTAGGTCTGTACTCTTATGAGTACATAACTTTTCACGAAAATCTGCCTCTCTTGCCCTCTGGCAAAGCATCCTTGAGTAAATACTTGCATCGGCTAATCACATTTTAATTCCAGGAACTCCAGGAAGAAGCCAAAAAGGTGGAGAAAAAATGCTTATATTTTGGACTTTGGAGTCTCTAAAATAGTAAAAATTTGGAAGACTATAAGAACTATAAGATTTTTAATCTTTATTTTTAGTTTCTTGTGTGCATGTAACAACAAATATAGTGGCAATAATGAATAAATGATTATGAATAAGTCAATAGTCATCTCTCACGTGATGTGTATTGTCAATAGTTCTGTGATGGCGGCGTCGTGTGTCCTTCTTCCCGGCGTTCAACACTGAAAAACCATCGTGCCTTGCGATAGATTTTCACGGTAAGAGCAAAATTTTGATATCACAAAGAATCAAGGGAAGGTTTCTGTATTTAGAGAAGCGTATATTTGCTTACTATTTCGAAGCGCAAAATGTTTTATTGCGATTAGTTTTGATGATTTCATAAGATTTCTCGAGCTGTGTGTTTACGTAAAAATTCAGCAATTCAAGCCCGGGTTTATTTCGAATAAAGACAGCCTTTTGTGATCCCAATATGAGCCAGGAATATCCCTGAAAGCAATCTTCAAACATGTCCATTTTGTGGCGGAAATGTTTCACTTTGAAGTAAAGAATTATGGTTTAAAATTTTGAGCGGCTGGAGTTGAAATAGAATCTTTATTCTGTACTGTCGCAGTTCAGTGTTTGACCAAAAAGTCACAAGAACTCTACGTACACTTCGATGTTTAATGTGCACTTTCCACGTCTATACTGTTTGATACTCATGCAATAAATATATATAGCTTTTGCCTGCCATTTGTTAAGAATTTACCTGAAAAATCGTGGCATTTGTTTTGTATATATATAACTCCATACCTTAGTCTTCGATGACAACAATATATTCAGGAGAATAAGACCCAAACCAACAAGGCCACACGCAAAATAGGGTATAGGTGCATGGTATTGCATTATAATAAAAATCTGAAATGTAGACATTAAATGCATAGCTGCAGGGCCTTAGGAATGTCTATTTATTAAATATTACCAGTGACCGTGTAAAATACCAAATTGAACTCTATGTCAGTAAAAAATTTCCTTCTTGATCCCTGATTCTTGCATGAGCTGATGAGCACAGGATGTTGAGGCATATTTCAGAGAGCAAACACAGGACATGACAGGCAAATATTATTTCGTGGAACAACATCCTAATTTTTTTGGTGAATTGTTTAAGTGCTTTGGTATGGTATAACCTGTATAAGTGTAGAGGGGTATTTGTGGGTGGGTGCATCTACACACAGGAAAGTTATACAGCCTCTGCCTTAGAAGGTAAATTTACCAACAAATATATAATACAGTCTTGTCCTATTAATTAGAGCTTTGATGTTTTAGAGGGTGATTACCTGCCATGCATGTGACAACGCTATCATTTCTTTATGATACGTGTAAGAGATGTTTTCCTTTGCATCTGGCTTTAATTCTCAGAGAAGAGTGTAAGAAAGAAGAAACAGCCAAAATTGTTTCTGATCGTCATACACATACACAGAATTGCCCTAAATCATGTGATGATGATGATGATGATATATAAAACTGTACATGCTCTGCATGCACATGCAAATACAGAACCTGACATGCAGTCATCTGAATTTTGTAAGAGCTGCAGAGTGCTGCTATAGTAATGAATATAAACTTTTGCAACAAAGTGACCTTAACTATATAAGGGTTTATTAAGCAAATATAAGCAGCAAAATGTGTTGTATTTTCTATAATTTTAGGAAGGATTCACCTGAAAATTACTATTCAGATTCGAAAATCACACAAAAATCACTTTGCTCTTACTCCCTAAGGAATTATAGGCCTGTGATATATTTTAGCTAAAGTATTGGTAGAATAATTTGCATTATCCCTGAAAGTTCCAGGTAGATTTTTTAGAGCTACCAGTACATAAATATCTCAGAATTGACACTGTTGATATAAATTTTTGAATATATTTGCATGATTTTTTAATTCAGAACCAGAGTAATGTTCTTGTAAAGACAACCACTGGTATCTCAAAGTTATTTGTTTGAAATCGTGTTTAATTTACTTTATTAGATTCAATAGATCTATGGAAGACGAAGCTCACTTGGAATCAAATGTTGGCAATTCTGATCATGACATTGAAAAATCACACAGTGAGTATAATTTACCCACTAGTATTCTTAATAATTAATAATTATTGGTACAATGTTTTTTTTGAATGAACACAATTTATGATATGCCAACCACTCTTTGTCAACCATATATGCCAAAATTTATATGAAGTAAGAAACAGTTTTGTGGATGATATCTATATAAGCCAAGCATTTTTGCTAAGTGTATATCACAGGCCTAAAAACTACCTTTATGATTGCTTTTAAGGAGTTAGAATAGTATTATGTCACAAGTCTTATCTACATAGCTTAAACTTCTTGTTATAAATTGAATTCAATCCAGCACAGATAGTATCTATTCTCACCAGAGGATGGATGGTTGATGATTTTAATCAAGTCTGTTCCTGGTTTGGATTTGCATGAATTTGGATTGTAATTTTGTATATGTAAATTCCACTTCAAATTAGGACGGTGGCCAGTCTAACTCAGAAATTAATTAATCCTCATCCAGTGAATTCTGAACTCTTAAGCACAAAATCTTATCTGAGTTATTAATGCTGTGTAGGTCAAGAAGTGATCGGATTGTTTCTAACACCGCAACAAGTATTTTCTTCATCTACTGGAGAAAACAATGAATTACTCGATCATTCTGATCATAGCAATGCAGTCACAGTACTTACAGCGACAACAACACAGAGTGAACAGGTAAAAATTACATCATAGGTGCATATTTTTCAAGTTTGGAAGCGCGCGGATGATTAATAGAGGATCAGGATCTCCAGAATTATCCGGTCAAAAGCGTTAGGGTGTTTATCATGCAGTTATCAAGTTGCGCGTTTCCGGGAAAAGGGAAACCGTCAAACTTTTTTCGCAGAAATTCCGGTCAGCTTCTTCGCTTCATATTTTCTTTGAATGTGTCTGGAGTTTTTGAAAACGCCACCCGCCTCCAAATTTTTATGATCTGAATTTTTATGTATTCTTATGATCTGAGACATTTTCAGTGTCGTCCAGCTGATCCGGGTATAAAAATCAACCAATCAGAAGACAGATCTTCGACAAAACTGAATTATCATTTCCTTCATTGCATATGACTTCGAAACTCGAAAATATTAAGTAATTTTATTATATTTATGTGAAAACACGTTTATTTTTTCCTAACTGCAAATTGCAATTTAAATTTTTCACCCTTTATACTATTAGTTGGAAGAATAGGGACAAATGACACCCGGCACATGATAACTCAGTTTTGTCGAGACGCTTTATGACGTCATGATCTCAGATCAGCTGGGTGTGTTAATTTTTATAGAAAATGTCTATCATGTCTCTTTTTTTCCAGGTGTCAGCTGAACATAGCTCAAGTTCTTCAAGAACAGACTCCATATTGGATGACGATGTTGCGTCAGAAAATCATGATCGTAAGAGTTTTTATTTTACATCCACCCCAAAATCAAGTTGAGCTAATATTTTCCTTTATCTTTTAAACAAATATTATGCCAATGAAACTTTATTATATTTGCGCTACCAGATAAAATTCAAGTGATTTGTCTGAAATGATCTGCTGGTTTATTTAAGTCCTGACGGAAACGATTTGGCAGAAAAACGTCAATATTTAGATAAGATAAAATGTTCAGGCAGGATGCTGTGTCAATAACATGACCCACAGTGAAATACTGTACCAACCCAAATCAGATGCGCTGTCCTTTTTCTTGACAACCTCTCCCTGGCTGAGCTTCCCGTGTTAGGAATGACGTCACTTGATTCTTACGTCACTGCGAGGGTGCTGTACTAGTCCTGCTAGCCCTCTTCTACCACATCTATCCCTTTTTAACCCTAATGCATCTAAAAAATCCAAATAGAGAATGAAGCTAGGCTATCGTCTTGATATATTTTGATAATCGTTGATGTACATACGGTAATTTATATGTATATTTTCAGAATCAAACCAAGTGACCGAAGAATATCCTGGTGGTGATCATCATGACAATCTCACAGCCAATGATCTAGTTTCTTCAGCAGTTGTGGTCAGTTCAGATCCAGGAACGGTTTATTTAGATCAGAGTGGTGTGGCTCTTGCAGAACTTTTACCTGGAACTGTCAACATCCCAGCATCCGGGACTGGAGAAGGTGAGCCTGCAAAATATTATATGCAAATCATTCACCTGCTCTGAAAATAAAAGAACCTAGCCCTTTGCAAATCTGAAAAAGTACGCTCAATGCTAAACTACGACCAAAATTATCACAAATGTGCTGATTGTTTTTTTATCCTGTGAAGGTGTCGTATCTGGATCCTGTCCTGCGATTAGCATGTTGCATGTAATCGTACATTTCATTTCTTCGCGGCAATGCGAAGAAACTCGCGTCAACTCGCTCAGCCTCTTAGTTCGATTTCTTTAAAAGAGAAATGAACTCTCAAAGTGCAGAATATTTCAGTGGCGTAGCAAGCATCGGTAATTGCGAGGAGGGGACATATTCATATATTCATGTTAACAGATTGTAAAGACAATTGATTTGAAAAGAAATTAATCCTGCGTATCACAAATATATGAATATCGGCCCCCCCAATTATCGTTCTGGCTACGCCACTGGAATATCCATATCATTATTGGTAGCTAAATCACACCATTTTTTCTAAAACAGCTACGTATGTCCATCATGGTAATGATGGTAATGTTGTCATAGCAACAGAGTCTGGTCCGTACGATAGTATATCAATGGCAACCATATCACACACGTCACCTACCATGGCAACCGATCAACAACTGGCAGCATTATCCCAGTTTACGTCGAACATGCAGTCGCACCATGATCAAACAACATTGTATGTTCTTGAAGATCCTTCAGGTGTGCACCATGATGATGATCATCAACATGTAAGATTATCTCACGTCTTGATAATAAACCTTAGAGGTGCTTACGTCACGGGACTGTCAAACAATGAATTGTAATGCAATGTGGGAAACATTGTAAGAAAAATCAACCTCATTTTACATTGATTGAAAACTGTGTGACGTAAGCACCTCCAAGGTCTGTTAATTTGTTTTATGATGAATTTATCGTAGTTGACTACGAGTACGACTACGAGTACAAGATTCGTCATTCTCGCGCGATGTTTGCCTACGCCATCAGCCAAAATTCGTAGTCGTTGGGCATTCGAGTACGAAATTTACCAAAAAACTCATGAAAATGACGAATCCTGTACTCGTAGTCGTACTCGTAGTCACCGCTAAAGCTCCCTAATGATAGAACAGCGGTTACTCTGAACAAACAAACAAAGAATGCATCACTCAACCTTTACACTTATTTAGTCATCATCATCGAAACAGGCGAATGCAAGCTCTTCTTATTTTGGGTTACTATTTTTCCTCTCAACGACGTCGTTTCATATGAAACACCTTGAATTCATTCAACAGCATGTTGTTCGTTATACCATAACCATAAACATTTTTATCTTAACAGGACAGTAGCTTGCTCAAGAAATCCTATCCTTGCGATGTCGTTGGCTGTTCTAAACAGTTCTCAACTCCGTATAGACTTAAAGCACATATTCGTAGTCACACTGGAGACATGTTTGAATGTGAATCACAAGGCTGTGACAAGGCATTCATAACTCAGAGTGATCTTAATAAACACATCAAAACCCATTCAGGAATGAAACCATTTCATTGTTCACATGCAGGATGTGGCAAAGAATACACTACCGCGCATCATCTTAAGGTGTTTATTATAAATATTTCTAACTGTAATATTTAACAATTAGTCGTCGAAGGCAAGGTGATTACAAGCCTTGTAATTAGTGCAAATTAGTGTAAATATAAAGCCTTATAACTTATGTAAATTACAAGCCTTGTAATATAGGCTTGTAATCACCGAGCCTGCATGAGGTGACTATTTGTTTCAGTGTAAATTTCGAGGTGTGTTATAATGAATAATAAGTAACATAATTTCATGAAAATTTAAGTCTTATTTGAAAAACAGCACCAAAAAAGTATATAGTCACCGACCAGTGATTATCACTTCAGAGACAGTGAATTTTGACCAATCAGAACGCAGGGAAATCAATAGTCACCTCGAAATTTTTGCTAAATTCAGGTTCTATAATGTACTTTGTGTTCTCTTGGCTAAAAACATCCGTGTTTAGGTACACGAGAGATCTCACAGTGGAGAAAAACCATACAAATGTAATTACGAAGACTGTGGTAAGGCATTCGCCACCGGGTACGGTTTAAAGAGTCATACGAGAACACATACCGGGGAAAAGCCGTATACGTGTCCTGATCCTGAATGTATCAAAGGATTTAAAACATCGGGAGATTTACAGAAACACATTAGAACTCACACTGGTAGGTAATCCTTTTAATAAATACAAACACTCGTTTGTTTGGTATAAACTTTGAATACACAGGATATTCTCCACAGTGTATTATATAGTACACATGCAATTTGCAAATACAGTACCTATAGCATATCCAAAATATGGTGGAAGCTAGTGCGTATATTTTTTGCCAGATATTTTAAAGGAAAGACGATCTTGAAAATCGCCTCAAAACGGTTCTTTCCAATTAAGAAGAAAATAGTTTTCATTGACAATTTTTTAATACCCAAAAATAACCTATTTTATTTTTTTCTTGCGGTCCGAATTCATATTTTAGCGTTTCCTGCAATCCGTACGGACCGCGTGAGATTTAAAAGCACAGAGCCAACGCTAAAATATGAATTCGGACCGCAAGAAAAAATAAATCTATTATTTACCGGTTTAGTCGGTCCGTATAGGGAAATATTTCCCTCCGTCTCAAAAACGTGAGACTTTGGGAAATATTTCCCTATACGGACCTGCAATCTGGTAAATAACATATATATGATTGCATCTTATATTCGTTTAGGCGAACGACCATTTAAATGTCTTTATGAATCCTGCGACCGATCATTCACAACATCCAACATCCGTAAAGTACATATGAGAACACACACTGGAGAACGACCTTACGTCTGCGAGTACGAAGGATGTACAAAATCATTTGCAAGTGCGACAAACTATAAGAACCACACAAGAATACATACAGGTAAGGAACATTCTGATTACAGGATTGTTGCTTCAGTATAGTCGTTTAATCCGGGATTTCCAAAAGGGATCATTCATTGCAAATATGCATAATATCACGAACTAGTTCGTTAAACTGATGTTAAGTTGATAATTCAGGTAGGCAACTCTGGTTAACGCAGATCTACTGTTTTCGCAGAGTGTTTCGATTACTTTTCAGGGCCACCCTCGATCGAATGTTAAGGAATGTGAAATTGAAAATTGATTTTGAATATAGAAATAACCATTTCTTTGCCAACGAAAGTTACCAGTTACGACTAATAAGATTGGGACGATACCTCAGTCATCATTGAAGCCAATTCGAAGCCACTGACTGGGCACCAGTGCCAGTTCATTTCTACTGTTTTTGCGATCGTCGAGCGTGAAAACAAAAACAATAGGTCTTGACTGGCATCCTGGTGCCCAATTTGGCGTCACGTCAAGATGACCACCGAGGTATTGCATGTACCAGTCCACAAAGTGCTCGCTGTCAGTTTCCGATTACTTATGATTTGTTTCTTCTTAACCTAGGAGAAAGACCGTACGTATGTCAAGTTGATGGATGTGAGAAAAGATTTACGGAATATTCAAGTCTTTATAAACATCACGTGGTGCACACGCATAACAAACCTTACACATGCACCATATGTAATAAGACATACAGACAAGCTTCTACATTGGCTTTACATAAGAGAACTTCACATGGAGATATGTCTGGAATAACAATGGCAGACGGTACGTTGTGGTTAACTATCGACCAATCTCATGGGTAGCCCGAAGACTATAGTTACTATACTGCTATACATTTCGCTGACGTAATGACAATAAACCTTTTTCTTCCATCAAAATATTTTGTAAACTGTTCAACTAGGCTTATTTCTTTACTTTTATTTTATAAACGGTCTCAAAATTACTATCCAGTGGACATAGGACATTCTTCGTACAGTCACTCCCTGTCGTAAAAAAGCTCTATATTTAATGGAAAATTTCTTAGTACACTATTACATGGTACACTGTTGTGACAATTTTAGCCGCTCACCGTTCCCTATTAAAGGAAACTGATATTTTTCCTAATACCTGATCCTATCTTTTAGATGCGGAAACATATGTTTCAAGCTCAGATGGCGAACCTGAACTAAAACGATCAAGGTTAGAATTTGCTGACAATGGTCATACCTACTCCATGGTCGTGTCGTCTGATGATACAGCAGCTGTTGCGGCCATGCAAGCAATAAACCATACTCTGAGTGATATATCTCATCAAATGTCTGATGGTACCACTGGACATATCACTCTACCAGTAACCATAACTACGGACAGCCAAATTCAGGTACGAGTTGGGTCATGTCGCAGTGCTCGGAAGCTTTCGTCCAATTGGATAATGCTTTTCTATGCTTTCTAAAGAACGAAGCTTTGCTATTTGTTCAAACAGAAATGTATTGTAAAGTTCAGCCAATGAAAATCATTCTTGCGAGGAGCTGCGACCCTACCCTATGAGTTGTGTGAAATCCTTTAAAATTCCGTTCACGCGATCCAATTTTGTTGGATCCATTTCACGTCTGACGTTGGAACGTACTCTCTCTTTTTGTTTCGTGTGATCTGATCTAAAGACTGTTCATTCGGAGTGATGGTTTAATTCAAAAGACAATGAGAAGGGTTTAAAACAACCCGAAGTTGATCAATTTGAACCGAAGATAGCTTAGCCGTTACATTTTGGGCTTTGAATGTCGACGAAAAATTTATCGGCTCGACTCATGAGACGTGGAAAATTATCGTTAAAATCTGAAATTTACATGTCTTTGATAATCCAAATGTAAATTGTCTATACTTTCTGTATTCAAGTCAGTCATTTTTGACTACACACTGGTCGTAATAATATTCTAATACATCACCACCATGTTCGCTACAATTTCGACTAAATGGAAACCAGCCCTTACCACACATCACCTTATATTTCTGTGGGTTTTATATGAATCTAGTACCTAACTCTTGTTAATTTGCCAATTAAATGTCAGCCTGTTTTTTTCTCCATGAATCTTAAATATTCTCATTTAACCGCAGGGTGTTCCTGTTGTTCTCACCGGGACGCCACCGAGCGCTATCATGCAGGAGTCTGGTCATGAGATATCATCCGACATGACGTCACAATCTGAAGTTGCTGTAAGCATTGTCCCTGCAACTTTAGTTACATCAGGGTACAGCACGATGCCAAGGTTTATATCCGCTGATAATGTGACGTATGTCTATGCTGCCATGACAACGGAAGAGGATGCCGAAAATCAACAGGAAGTGACGTCATCGAATAGCGTTGAAAGCACATTTGATACTGCGCAAGCTGATCATGCGTATGGCGAGATAACGCAGAATATCGGGAACGCGGACTCAACAGTACAAGTGGTGAAGAGCAGTGTAGAATCCTGCAGGAGTCCTGGATCAATCGATGAACAAGGTTGGTTAAGAGTTTTTTACACTAGTCTAATCTCTATTTGATAGATGCAAACGAGCGAAAAGTTATGCTCTACTATATGAGTGTCCATGATTAAATGAAAATCCGTAACTGATTCGCTCGTTCACATCCATCAAATGTATAGAATGTAATTCGTTAATGGTTTCTACCGGGAAAATCTTTTACATATAGCTATTTGCGGATACTGGTTACGTGGTAATATAGGGACCTTAGGGAAAACGACGACGGTGGTTATCAATATCATTAAAAGAAATGAATAATTACAGTTTTAGACTTTGTCCACTTCTGTCAACGTCTAAACACGATTGAGAATATACAACAACTCTCTTACCATCCCACTTAAATTTGATCATCGCTAGACTCATTAAAACTAGCAAGTGCATGCAATTAATGGCTGTCTCATTCGGTTGGACTGCTTATCTTTTTTCTTATATACGTCAAGCCAATTCCCTCTATTAATATCAGTTTCGTTACCATTTTCAGACGATTTCAGTCAAGAACAGAGCATAACCAGTTCTGATGACAAAAATGAACAATTGGGTGACAGTGTGGTAACGTCCACTATGTCACAGATAAATGTTGAGAACATACTATCCTGACATCATCGCTATGTTATCTGTAATTAAGGTAGATGGAATTTCTCAGTGATAACTTTCAATTGTTTAAACACATTAAAAATATTCCATTAAACATACTATTAGTTGGTATAAAAATATTTTTGGCGCCTTCTAAAATATCTCGTCCTTAAGCCCTTTACAGACTTTGACAATTTTTCTATGACAACTACACTTGTTCAAAATCAAGTATACATGGTTTGGAGACTAAATAAAAGCACAATACAACTAATTAAATATTATTGTCCGGGGTTATGCAAAAAATGGTTCTTTTCTCGTCACGTGTCTATTGTATTTTAGCCAAACATACCAATGCATGGCATTCGTCTTGCTAAGCTCCTCAACCTTTACTTGAAAAATATGTTGATTATAAGATTGCTATTGGTTTATCTGTGCACAGTACAATAGATATGTGATGAGAAAGGATAATATTTTGCATAAATGAGGCATCAACATAGTTAATAAATGCAATTGCATTGTAGTTTTATGTGGTCTTCAAACCATGTATTTTATTAACTATGATTTCGTTTAACGTGATCTAACCCGCGATTAACCTTCGATATTTTGTAAGCATGGCTTCAAATCTGCTCCCACTTTAAGTTATCAAATAGCTGAGATGATTTGATGTCAAGCACGACTTGAATTAGTTATCACCAGGGCATCTCGTGTATGAAGTTTTTGTTGTATGCCATAAGATTTGTACGTTAGTGTATAATGTACCTAATGTTGCCAAAGGCATTCCTCTACTCAATCTGAACCCTTGAGTTCTTTACACTGTGCGTCAAGTCGTTCCATATTAATTGATCATTAATTATGGCTCCTAAGGGGCTGTTTACATGAGCCCGGTTACCCGAGATTCAACGAAGCGTGAGATGATTTTGAAGTATTGAAATGAGCAGATAACATGATTCTGGTAGTCGTATAATCACCACAACAATAGCATGTGCTTGTTTGGTGTCATAAAGACTTATTTTAATACCTCAAAGTCCTCTCACGCTTCGTTGAATCTCCGGTAACCGGGCTCATGTAAACAGCCCCTAAAACCTGTTTCCTGGATACCTGATATTTTTTGCCGAGATCCGACAGCATAAATTCTGGGGTTTTCTGTATTGAATGTCAATTTGTTAGCTAATGATCATTTATGTACGCTTTCGAGGTCGGTATTTAGTTTGTCAATGTCATTGGATGAATTACTACAGCGGCTGATTCTCACTATAACTATGCTATATAGCATATGCCTAAGACTATGTGCACACGGTAACGTTTTGAAGCGTTTTAACCTCCTCATATGCCTAAACGGTTTCAAATACCGCCAATTTACTACAATAGAAGTTCAAGATAAATAAACATTTTTTAAAACGCTCGAAAACGACGCTCACATAGCCTAAAGCCGTTCTCCACTAGGCAAATTTATTCGCGCGACGCTAAGCGATATCTGAAATCCGGGAATGTGAAAAATTCGCCGCGAAAAAGTAGAATCGCTTCCTACTCCGTTCGCGCGAATAAACTCGCCTAGTCGAAAACGGGCTTAAAGACGGTTTTCCTTGCACTGGCGATGTTTCTCGCGTTCTTTACTTTTGTCTCATCTTCCATGGTTAAGCCTATAGTTTCCATTTTGTTCGTGAAGAAGTCATTTTCAGCAAGACGAAATAGACCGTAAATAGAAGGATGGATGTAAATTTGTCTTTTTTTCTCTTATTTTTAACGATTTAAATACTGCAGTGCACATAAATAGACATGTGTTGACATGTTCACCTTGACAATTAAGACTAAATTGAAATCAAGCTTCTACAACTGCCCTCAACTCGATGATAACAAACGATTTTTAACATAATGGGCTATTATTTCGAAACTTTCACGTTAAGCCGTCTCATGGACGCTCTAAAGTGTGTTGAGTCCCCAGAGCATTGTCTCTAGAAAAATGATAACCATGCAGCTAATCTGGGTATAAAAATCAACCAATCAGAAGCCAGATCTTCGACAAAACTGAATTATCATTTCCCTGATTGCATATGACTTCGACACTCGAAAATGTAAAGTAATTCTATTGTATTTATGTGGAAACCCTTTTTTTTTCTCAACTGCAAATTAGAATTTAAAATTTTCACCAGGCGTATGATAACTCAGTTTTGTCGAGATGCTTTATGACGTCATGATCTCAGTTCAGCTGCAATTTAATAAATATTATTTTAACACACATATACAGACATGCCATGCATAAAGATATTTTCTCTGTACATGGTTATTTTGCTTGTATTGTGCCATATTTGTTTCTCCATTTTTCTTGTCTTTCTTTCGTGCGTTTTCGTCTTTCCTCTCGCTCGATCCTTTTTCGTTCATTTTCTTCTGATGTCCGTTGTCGACGTATCTGTTCTTCTCTTGGAATGCTCAATAAAAAAACAATGAGTTTTAACTTTAATCTCGTGCCCCAGCGCAGAAGGTTGAAGGATGAAGTTATCTTTCGAGTCATGATAGAGATCACAACAGATCACAAGATATACTTACTTTTCAGGGTCTGGTAGCGGTGAAACATCATCTGGATCATAAACTTGTGGCTGCTTTCCAATAAATTTTCCTTCTTGAAAAAAACCTTCAGCCCTGTATGCATGTAGAGGTTAAAAGTATTAGGTGCCTGAAGTTTGGCAATCACGGCAAACGTCGAGACGCCCGGTTTTTAGGCCCGGCCAGTACATAGTATTTGGGTATTTTGGGTATTAAGGTTCGCAGTATGTACTTCTTAATTGCTAGCATTTACACTGATGGTGGTGAAGCCGTCATGCATATAAACGCATTTCTGAGTCCCCAATTTTCCGAATTTCAAAATATATCTCGAAATTAGCCTCCTCCGCAGGCATCTCTTATTTATTAAAAAAATGCATATTTGGTATGACACAGCTACTCCATGCCTAATATGACTAATATAAGTACATAAGAGATGCCTGCGGAGGAGGCTACCTCGAAATGTTCCAGAAATAAGTGCTATTACATTCTTTCATGAAAAAAACATAAAAAAGAACAAATATTTGAATAGATTTTAAAATTCAGTAAAATCGAATAATTGGGGTTTAGGAAAAATCGTAATACTTAAACCAAAAAAGCATTTTTGAATTCGGTAACATCTGTAACCGAGACAAAAGGAAAAGTGATATTACATGCTTTCACGAAAAATTGAAAATTAAACGAGACTTACCTGGAAGTTGAAGTTTGATTGGAATTCTATGAGTCATAACACTGCATCGAGAGATCACATGAGATTGCATCGCGCATGCGTTCATCAGTTTTTAAAGCTCGAATGTGAATGTTATCCCATAGATTCATACATATATCCTGCTAAACATCCGAATCTTGCTGGAAATACATCAGCGTTAAGGGTGGGACCAGCAGTGGTTGGGCATGTGATCCCTCGATGCAGTGTTATGACTCATAGAATTCCAATCAAACTGCAACTTCCAGGTAAGTCTCGTTTAATTTTCAATTCTATTTCGTCATCACTGCATCCGGGATCCCATGAGATTTTAAAGCCAGCATTCACATGAGAGACAACACGTGCCTAACGTAACAATTGTAATGAACATAACAATCTAATGAATACAACAGCTAGAGCTTATTAATTCAGTTCCGTTAAGTTACTGCGTATAATTACTTTAGGACCAACTCTGCAAATACAGAATCCTGTCGAACTGGTTTATTATAAAACCGGTCAAATGTTCGCTGATTTGACCAACCCGCTTGTTTTAGTATGTCCTGCATAGGAACACATGCTTGTTTAGCCTTAGATGTTGCTGCCGATCGTGTACTATGGGGTTTAAATACAGTGACGTCAATTCCTGCATCACCCATGACTGTACGGATCCATCTGGCTATGGTGTCTTTCGAAACGCCCTTGTGAGGCTTAACAAAGCTAATGAACAGTCTGTTCTCATCCTTCCTCAATGTTTTTGTTCTTTCAAGGTATTCGTTCAAATGTGTGACCACACACAAGGCAGAATCTATCGGGTATGCCTTAAGGATAACCGATGGAACTTTGTAACCGGGTCGGCTTTGTTTTATGTGTTCTGGTAAAGCAAATTCGACTTGGTCAGTACTTGATTTCATGAATTGTAAATTGAGTAAATGAATACTTTGAATCCTCTGTGCTGATACTAGAGCCACTAACACAACCAGCTTGAGCGTAAGGGATTTAAGGTTTAATTCATCTGGTGCAGCGAAGGAGGATAAATGAGATAACATCGGTTGGACATCCCAAGTCGAGTCATATCGAGGGACAGGAGCTCTGCTCTTAAAAACTCCCTTCATAAACCGCGAAATGAGCGGGTGGTTACCGATGGTAGGGCTGTTTCTAGTCACAGTAATTGCTGATATTGCTGACTTAGCAGTGTTAATTGCATCATACCGGAGACCTCTTTCATAAAGAGAGGTATAAAATCAAGAACCTTTGTTATAGGTGAGAACCATGCCTGAGTTGTCCAGAATGGTACCAGAAGAATCCCCGTTGCTTTGTCTTCCTCTATTTTCTTCAGACATTTGGCAATCACACTGAAAGGTGGAAATGCATAGAAAAAATAAGGTTCCCAACTAAAACTAAATGCATCAATAAATTTTGCGCCTGGGTCAGGTTTCCACGCAGCATATTCATTAACTTTGTTGTTAAGCCTTGATGCAAACAGGTCAATATCAAAGTATCCCTATTGTGTGAGAATAGATTGGAACACCTCTGTTGATAGTGACCATTCAACAGAGTCATTAAATTCCCTTGAAGCTGTATCAGCTTGGACGTTTAGGACCCCAGGAATGTGGCGGGCACTTAACCAGATTTGTTTTGAAATACACCACTCCCAAATTTGGAGTGCTATGTCATGGCAGTCCTCTGACTTGACCCCGCCCATGTGATTGATATAAGCCACAGCTGTGGTGTTATCTGACTCTATGCAAATGTGTATATCTTTACAGTTGTTACACAAGGATTTCAATCCTAGAAAAACTGCCTTCAACTCTAAATAGTTTACGTGAAATTCCTGTTCTTGTGGGTTCCAATGCCCTCCAGTTTGTTCTTTAACACTGCACCCCATCCTAGATGCGAGGCATCTGTAGTTAAAGTGATAACTGGGTTACTTATAGTAAGTGACCTCTGTGAATTAAGAATATTGTTAATCCACCATGATAATTCTACCTTTGAGCCCTCAGACAGATGCATTATTGCATCAAAATTTCCATAATTGTGCCTAAGGGCTTGAGTTTTGTTAAGCTCTAGTTTCCTATAGTAGAGTGCCCCATATTGTACTGCAGGAAGACTGGACACTAAAACCCCTATCACATGAGCCACATGTCGGATAGTAATAGGCTTGTTGCTTCCCAAGAGGTCTTGACAGACAGACTGAACTTTAATTGCTTTGGTTGTTGACAATCTTACTGTCATTGTCAGGCTGTTTATCAAAAACCCAAGAAATTCTATTTCTCTAGTAGGTTTCAAAATTGACTTATCAGGTTGTACAGTGAAGCCCAGTTTAGTAAATAACTCAACTGTTGTAGTGATATTATTTTCACACTCATTAAAGGCAGAAGCAACAAGTAAAGAATCATCAATATGTCCCATGCATGTGTACCCCAATGTTCTGAGATGGGCATAGACTGGTTTGAGTATTTTCGTAAATAATCTGGGCGCACATGACAAGCCATTAGGCAGGCAAGTGAAATGAAAAAACGAATCTTGCATTTAAACATTAAGAATTTTCGATCCTCTGCAGCAACAGGGATAGAATAGTAGGCATCCTTTAAGTCTACTGATGCCATGAAACATCCTGGCCGAATGAGCTTAACAGCTGTTTGAAAAGTGTCCATTTTAAAATGGTGATATGCCACAAATTCATTTAATGATTTAAGGTTGAGAATCATTCTGTGAGTGCCATCCTTTTAGGCCTGACAAACACATTTGAGAGATAGCTGTCTGGTGTGTAAGCAGCTTGCTCAATGACTCCTTTGCTAAGGAGTTTAGCAATTTCATTATTGATGATCTCTTTTTCAGATGGAGAGAAAATTGTATTTTTAGGAGGATTAGCCTGTAAAGGAGGGCTCTCCGCAAACTCAATATTATAGTGCTGAATGGCACTTAAAATTATGGGGTCTTGTGTATATTCCCAGTTGGATAGATGATTCTTTACTTGGCCTGCAGTAAAAGCCAGTGTCTGGCATTGCAAATTATTGCTTAACACATTTTTAGAACAATCTTTATCAAATATTACCTGTGTTTCTAATTTACCCCTTCTTGTTGTTTTTCTTGTGCAACACCCCTGTCTGGGATGCTGCACGGCCGTGCCATAAAAAAGGCTTCTTGGTATTATGACCTTTATAGTTGTAGCTTGGGCCAGGCCGGTCATAAGGTTTATGGAAGTGATTTCTCTGACTATAGCTGTGCTGTGGGTTTTCTTTTGCAATTGTTTCCCCACTCTACTCACATCTGTCATGTCCTTCAGATGTTTGGTGAGGTCATCACCAAAGAGTTTGGTTGTTGTAGCTATTTCTGGTTTACAAAACGAGTAAACGGAGCGTTTAAGTCAGGCTTGATGAGTTCGCGTCTTTTCATATTCAAACTCCAGTCTGCATGACTCACAAGTACAAGACTGTCCATGACGTGATGCATAATTTCCATCATGTCTGGAGTTCGCTTATTCTGCACATCTTTAGCTAACTTATCAGCTAGAAGTGCTAATGATGAAACACCCTGTGTCAAGGTTTCTTGTACTCGCTGAAAAGCGAGATCTACAGTTCTGCTTCGTCGGGGTAGTAAATCCCAGATCTCTTCGTTAACTGTAGATGTACAGACGCGTTGACAGTTTTCGGGGGGAAATATTTCTCGCCCCGTTCTTTCACGGTTTCTGGTGAAAGTTTACCTGACAATATGCTGTCTACAAGATCAGCAATTTTGGTTGCAATAGCGGGAGATTTTCTCTCCGAGGGAATAAACGCCTGTGTCAGGCTTTCAAGTAAGTCAGTATGTTTCTCTGTGTCAGAGTTATTCTGACTGTTAACAACGGCGCCATCGCCATTGCTGCTCGAGTCGAGCAAGTCATTTACAACACGTGTTGGGTCAACCGTGCTTGTTTTGTCGTTGTTATCTTCAATTTCGAACCCAGAATCTTGCTGGACTTGTTAATCTTCGTGAAGGTTTTAAAAGCTGCTGATTGATCTTTCGAAGCCGAAGCCTGAGCTAGGTCCGCCAAGGAGTTTTGGATGCCTTGCAAGATTCCCGCCAAACTACCAATGTCCGATTCTTGCGATAAAACCACATCCTCTGATAAAAGCCTATCTTCTTCACTCTGGGAGGCCATCACGGTGATCATAAAGTGCGAAAATTCCAACAAGTCTCGATGAGTGATGTCTTAAAAGACGAATTTTTTATTTTATTCAGTAGAAGCTTTCTGAAGCGAAGCGTTAGCACTGATGAACGCATGCGCGAAGCAATCTCATGGGATCCCGGATGCAGTGATGACGAAATAGAATTTAAGATTTTAGTGATGATGCCTTAGGAGGAGGCTATAAAACCATTTTTCAAAACTGTTCAAGATTTGAGTAAAATCAGTAGGGAGGGGGTCGGGGTGGTC